CTGGCTGTGAACACTGCCAGGGTTGGGGCAGCCACAGCCTCCCTGGGCAACCTGTGCCAGTGTCTCACCACCCTCACGGGGAAAACTTCAGCCTGATATCTCATCTAAATTTCCCTCCTTCAATTCGTACCCGTTGCTCCTTGCCCTGTCACTGTATCTCCTAACCAAGAGTCCCTCTGCCGCTTCCCTGGAGCCCCTTCAGGTGCTGGCAGGTGCTGTGAGGTCCCTATAGTGTGGACTTGGAAGTAGCACAGGCTAAGGGAGGCCTGTGTTGATGAGCAGGTGGGATTTAGAGGGATTGCACTGTGGAAAGACTTGAAGTCTTACGAACTTTTGCTTTTGGTCTCTTCCTGCCTCAAACAGATGACTATGAGCTCTTCAGGACTCCTCAGAGTACATGTGACCTGAAACAGCATTCTCTCCCCTCCGTGCTGGATTGCCTCCAGGACCTGTGCCTCACAGCACCGCTGCCAGAGGACCCTCCCCACTGTGCTGCCCCAGCGGGGAGCTCTGCAGGGAGCCACGCGCTGCTGGGGTGCTCCCGACAGAGGGACAGAAGTGTGGCTGGGCCCGACCTGCTCTCCACGGTGGACAGCAGCTCCCTGAGCGAGGCTCAGGCCTGCAGCCTCGGGAGGGGTGGAGTGCCTGTGTGTGACCTCATCAATGCCCTCTCGGTGGCTGCTCCTGGGAGCTCTCAGCACCTGCAGTGCAACAGCTTCCTGCATGACACGGGGTGGAGTGGCTTCAGCACATCCTGCGCTCCTCTTCCTGCTGCGGTGTCACCACCTGCCACTCCCAGGATGGGGCATAGCGGTGGGGACTCTGTGCTGCAAGGGTCAGGCTGTCTCGGCGCAGAGGAGGTTAACCACCCTGCTCTAAAATCAGACAGTTGTGCCACAGGAAAGAGCTCAGGTCTATGTGGCTATCAACACAGGACAGAACCTGGGAAGTGTGAGGAGCCTGATCAGCCTGAAGAGGCTGCTGAGTGTGCCCCTGTGACACCACAGAGTTCATACGATCCCAGAGATGGGGAAGCCTGTGGAAATCTGCCTTGTGACCCACAGGGTGACAGTGCACACTCTGCAGCAAGCAGAGAGGTGTGTGAAGGACTTGCCACAGGAGAGGGAGACGCAGAAGATGGGAGCAGGCTTGGATCCATGCCTGCAGCTCTGGCAAAGAGGGACAGGGGCCGTGCAGCATCACCTGGCAGTGGAGTTTCACCAGTCTCCTCAGGTCAGGCAGGAGCTGAGGTGGAACTGGGGAAGGAAACCACCGAAGGGGATGCAGGGAGTGAAGAACTGAGCGGCAGTGAAATACCAAGCACTGTTGACTGTCCGTGTGTTCCAGCTGAGGATGTCCAGACCTCTCTGTCCTGTCTCTCACTCCCTGTGTCTGTGTGTGGCTCATTAGTGATGGCAGAAGAGAGAGCTGATCCTCTACCTCAGAATGCAGGGGTTATTAGTGATACTGTAACTGCTCATGCTGCAAATCCTCAGGCTGATCTCCTTGGGAGGGAATCCTGTGGAAACACTGACCTGCAGGAGGAATGTTTAGCTGGAATCAGTGATGTGGAGACAAGTAGAGGTGGAGAGAAGGCCAACACTGGGAGTGTAGTGAATGATGGAGACTCTCAAGCAATGGAAGCTTTTCCTTCTGCCTTTCTGAACTATGAGGCTGAGCCGTGTAGTGTTGGAGTGGACATGTTCTATGATGGAAGCACGAGCCCAGTTCTGTCTGACTTTGTTGAGGAGAGTGTTATCAAAGATGACTCTCTAATCAGTGATGCTGAGCTCGATGACTTCTTGTATGGGCAGAGCCTTGAGTCCAACGCATTGGAGCCTTTAGACCATGATGGTGATGTGGTGGGAGGTGATGCAGGTGAAGGGGATTTAGCAAAGGTGAACAATGTGGAGGACGTGCCTGAGAGTGGCAGTGAAGCTCTGGTTCCTCCTGTTCATAGTGAAGGTGCAAGGCCAAAGCAGCTGCTTGGCCGTTCCCATGGAGCTGCTGGTCAGACACCACTGAGCAGGACAGATGTGCCAGAGAGAGAGAACCTGGGAGGTGTCTCTGCTCCCCCAGCATCTGCTATGCAGGGCACCAGTAGCAGCTCTGACCCCGGAGAGGGCAGCTCTGGAGGGGGTCAAACATCCCAGTCCCCAGGAGCACCTGGAGTTCTGCCCTGGAAGCAGCCCCTATGGGTCCCTGACTCTGAGGCACCCAACTGCATGAGCTGCCAGGTCAGGTTCACCTTCACCAAGAGGAGACACCACTGCAGGGCTTGTGGCAAGGTGAGTCACCAGGGAGGGGCCTGCAGCACCAAGAGGGGGTGGGTTCTGGTCTGGACATAACCACAACACTCAGAGTTTTTCTGGGCTCAGAGTGTTTTATTTCACAAAAACTTTGGGATTTTGCTTATCATTAAAAATGGAGGTGCTGGTGATGATGATTCAGAGCCATCAGGACTGCCCATGGAGCTGGAGGCACTGCATTCCCTTAGGAGCTGTAGCAGTGCTACCAGCCCAAAGGCTTCACAGCCTCATCTCTCCTCCTGTGTGCTCAAATGATTTTCCAGGGAAGTCACCCCAGGGGAGAAGAAGAATGTGATTCACCAACAAAACAAGTAGTTGTAGAGCCCTTTGCCTGTGGTCTGTGGGTGAGTGAGTGATGCCAAAGCTTATTCTCAGTCCAGAATTCCCTGGTGATTTGTGGTTCACACTTGTGTTAGAGCGTAAATGGAAGTACTAACAGCACTGTTGAACTCACTGCTCAGTGCTGCTCTCTCAGCTTTAGAAATGAGGAGATGCAGCAGAGAGTCGTGTTAGTGCCAACTATTTGCATCATCGGTGCTAGGAAGCTTCTGGAGAGGCTGGGTAGGTTTATCCCAGGGATATTCTTCCAGCACAGTGTGTTCCGAGCGTGAGACACATACCTTTCAGCTACAGGAGGTGTGAGAGTGTGTTCCGAGCGTGACACTCATACCTTTCAGCTACAGGAGGTGTGAGCTGAAATGGAGGTCTGAACTGAGTTCAGGAACAGCAAGAACTCATTGTGCCTACCTGGGAGTCACTGAACTTAGTGCCAGAATACCCTGTTGGAATTCTGAGATGGTTTAGAACAGTTTCCAGTGGGTTTTGCTCTAGTCACAGGGCTGACTGAGCTTAAGGTGCTGTTCTGCACTCACTGTGATGTTCTGTTCCTTGCCTGGGGATGGCAGAGCCTCACCACAGTCCTGTGTGCAGCCCTTTAGGTGTTGCTGAGGGAGTTTGGGCAGGTGGATGTAATTAGAGGGAACGTCATTAGGAACACGTTGGTTAGGAGGGTGAGAGGGGGCACAGGTTAACCCTCACAGATGCTGCAGTGCTGTGCAGGTGTAACTCACAGCTTTCCTGAATATCCAATAGCTTAACTCTCTGCCTTGTAGGACTTTTTGTCTTCTTAGTAGACACTTGTTTTGTCCTGAGAAACCTGAATCATACATTCCTTCTGAGACTGTTTTTTCCACCTGTGTTTTCCACCACTTGGGATGTGAGGGCACGGCAGGAATCCACAGCTGTCCTCTGTGGACTGTCCTAGAACACAATTTTACAGCTGTACTGTGATCCTGCATCTTTTTTTACCTATGGAAATGGTGACACTTGTGGATTCCATTGCTGGTGGGTGGTGTCCCTGCCCAGGCTGGGGCTGGGTGATCTTTGAGGTCCATTCCAACCCCTTAACAAGCTATGACACTGTGATTCTGATCTGGAGGGAGGTGTGATGTTCCTGTTCCTCACTCTCCTTCCCACCTGTAGCACTGATGAGGCCAAATAGCTCTGCAGTGCCTTCATTGAGGTGCTTGTCTCTTGCTGTGGTGCCTTCCTCTTCCTGTCCCAACCAGCACCACTTCATCAGCCTCATTCTCACCTCCCTCCTGGTGCCCTGGTTTGTGTTCCCCTATTAGGTGCACTGGGATTCATGCTGTGCTGCAGGTCCCACAGTCACCAGGTGCAGGAGGAGAACACCATGTCAGAGGATTGTGCTGCTTAGTGTTTGACTCCTGGGGTGGATTGTGACTGATTAGCAATTAATCCTCATCAGCTGCATTCTCAACGTCTGTGCTGAGCATGTGTTCCACTGGGTGTAAATCTCCCATGGCACTGATGCAGAGGCAGTTGGAATAGCTTGGTTTTGGGTTTTTGTCAATTATTGCTGGTTTTGCTGTGACTTTTCCTATTTCAGAGAGTTCATTT